AGATGGGTTGGAGGATCGTAAGATGGGTTGGAGGATCGTAAGAGGGAGAGGAGGATCGTAAGATGGGTTGGAGGACCGTAAGAGGGATAGGGGGATCGTAAGATGGGTTGGAGGATCGTAAGAGGGAGAGGGGGATCGAAAGTGGGGTAAGGGGGTCGTAAGAGGGATAGGGGAATAGTAAGAGGGGTTGGAGGATCGCAAGACGGACAGGGGAATTGTAAGAGGGGTTGGAGGATCGCAAGAGGGATAGGGGAATTGTAAGAGGGGTTGGAGGATCGCAAGAGGGATAGGGGAATTGTAAGAGGGGTTGGAGGATTGTAAGAGGGATAGGGGAATTGTAAGAGGGGTTGGAGGATCGTAAGAGGGAGAGGGGGATCGAAAGTGGGGTAGGGGGGTCGTAAGAGGGATAGGGGGATTGTAAGAGGGGTTGGAGGATCGTAAGAGGGATAGGGGAATCGTAAGAGGGGTAGGAGGATCATAATACTTTGCTAGCAAGATGATCGTGTAAAGAATCTAATTATCATATCTACCAAATAACTTCGTACTACTTGAAAAGAAGTGAAGTATGTGGATTTAGAGACAAAAATTAAGATTGTTAAAGCACGTCATATTCCTCAAAAACGTTACATTTTACGCGCCATATTTAGTACTTTTCGTGATGATGTTTACTTGTTCACGTATCTGTTTCAGTACTACAGCTAATCAAAAATACGAAAATTATTAAATATGACACGAAATTTCGTCTAATTGCGTTGAAAGAGGAAGTATCACTGCTTATTCTAGGCGAATCAGTAGAAATCGTCTGATCAAAAAAGCCCCTTAAAAGTTCGTGGTGAATAATATAATGACTGTAGGACTAATAGCATAATTAAACATCAACGATCCGTTATTGTACTCCGTAAATACCTTAATTGACAAATCAGGACTGCCCGGTAAATTCAAATCGTGGATGTACCAACACGGGCTCCTACCACGCCTCACGTGGCCTCTAACCCTGTACGAGGTTACCACTACCACAGTGGAAATCCTGGAAAGGAAAACAAGCAAATGTCTACGACGTTGGCTCGGAGTCCCCCCAAGTTTCACCAGTGTGGGCCTTTACAGCACCACAGGCAAATTACAACTTCCATTATCATCGCTGGTAGAAGAGTTCAAGGTGGCAAAGGTTAGGCTGGTGATGACTGTTAGAGACTCCAAAGATGAGAAGATCCGGAATGCTGGAATTGAGACTCGAACAGGACGCAAGTGGTCAGCAAGCAGTGCGGTACAGGAAGCAGAGAGCAGGCTAAGGCTCAGCGACATCGTTGGGACTACCTGTATAGGCAAACAGGGGTTAGGGTCAACGCGGGTGGAAAGGGGGGGGGGAACAGCAGACACGGCTGGTAGGAGGAAGATGGTTCAAGATAACATCAGGAAGATGGAGGAAGAGATCAGGAAGGTTAAAGCTGTAGAAATGGGAGCACAGGGAGCATGGACCAAATGGGAGACAACGGAAAGACGTATTACATGGGCAGATATCTGGAAGTTGGAACCATGTAGAATCCAGCTCCTCCTGCGATCAGTGTATGATGTCCTACCAATACCTACCAATCTCCACCGATGGGGGATGACGGAAAACCCCAACTGCCCACTGTGTGACCAACCGGGTAACCTGGCCCATGTATTGTCATCGTGCAACACCGCTCTGACCCAGGGGAGATATACATGGAGACACAACAAGGTACTGCGAGAGCTAGCAGACACCCTTGAGAAGGAAAGGCAGAAAAAGAGGAAATGTACCAAACATCAACCGCACATCAACTTTGTAAGATCTGGAGAGACAACCAATAAGAAAGCAGTGCACCAAGGATGGAGCAAACAGTTGGGAGATGCGGGTTGACTTAGGACAAAGACTAGTTTTCCCAGAGGTCGTCCAAACCAACCTTCGTCCAGATATCCTGCTATGGTCACAGCAAGGGAAGAAAATGGTAACGATTGAGCTAACTGTCCCCCGGGAGGATCGATGCCAAGAGGCTCATGAGCGGAAGAAAGGGAAGTACGCCGATCTAGCAGACGACGTGAGAGCAAAAGGATGGAGTGTGTGGGTCTTGCCAGTAGAGATGGGGTGCAGAGGGTTCCCTGCACAGTCCATGTGGAGGATGTTTTCTACACTAGGCATCCAGGGAAGAGACCGAAGGGCAGCTGTTCAACGACTATCAGCAACAGCAGAGAAGTCGTCCAGCTGGCTTTGGTGGAGAAGAGAAGATTTGAGCTGGAAGCCATCCATCGACGGGCAGTGATTTGGCCAATTACTCTCGACTCGCCACCTTGAGGACGTCCCAGGATAGGAGTCGAAACGTCCAGTGAGAGGTGGTCCTGGCTGATGACGTCGATGGTTTCTGCAGTCTAGCGATTGTTTTAAGGTAATTACACGCGGGGATCTTCAGTAATATTTCCGATTCTGCACTGTTTTCTACAAGAGTTATTTCCCTTCCATCATCGCGAAAAAAGATCCTTCTGATTATTTAGTGATGCGATGTTAATGTTGAATACGGTGAGCAAGGAAATGATCGAAAATTCAATAAATTCTTAATAAAATTGACTCCAACATTGATAAAACAATAAAAGAAAACACGAAGAATAAGACAATGTGTTCCGGAAGACGGCACTCCTGTCTGGACGACACCCGACGTGTAATTCTTTCTATTTTTGTCAATCCGAACAAGTAATGTCGCGCCCCTAAATGAGAACAATATTATTTTGCGAAACTACCAGGCACACTAAGCATCATTTTATTGCATATGTGGGTGACGCAGTGGTGTCGCACTCACCGTTTACCCATGAAAGGCGTTCTGGGTTCGATTCTCTAAATGGTCATTAAAATTGTATTAGTTAGATTCACCAATTCCCCTCGTTCTCTGGTTTCCTTCTTTCGGAGAGGGGGTGTTCCCTCATGCTCTGGTTCGGGAGGGGGTGTCCCCTCGTGCTCTGGTTTCCTCCCTCCGCTGGGGGGGGGGGTGTCTCCTCGTGCTCTGGTTTCCTCCCTCTGCGGGGAGGGGGATCTCCTCTTGCTCTGGTTGCCTCCCTCCGCGTTAAGACCCCTCAGGCAAGTACTCCTATCACGGCAAACAAGAGTGATTAATTTGATACTAGCTGAAATAACTTATTTCGCAATAGCCATAAAACTGATAAATGTTGTAATACTTCCAACTTGATTTCGCGCAATGAAATTGAACATTCTCCAGTGAAATCGTTATGACGACTACAAATTACCTCTCCAAATTTTTTCATCAACCTGCATTTCTAGAAACCCAGCGTTGTGTATTTTGAGTATGTCTGTCAGATGTCGAAATCGTGAAATTTGAAACAAGCCTTAGAATGTTGAATCAACGGGAAAAAAAGGAAGAAAACACATTGGGAAAGCGGGAATGTTGCTACCTTGAAGTGGAAAATTCACAACATGGAAATCAAAATGATACAACTTGGTTTAAATGAGATGCATATCTTAATATCATAATAGGGACAAAACATAAGGAGCCAAGGGTCACACACACGCAGGAAAACACTTTTTCTTCTTCATTTTTGATCATGCGAGAGACGATCCGTTTTTATTTTACACGAATTTATGAAACTCTTGATACTTCTGCACAACAGTAAAATATCCGACTTTGGCTAGTTTCAGTAACATCCTGCATACTATGTAATATATTTTATCTAGCATTGTAAGTAGATTAAAATTCAACATGCTATAAATTATCTATGTCTATTTTATATGATTAAACAAATCATAGCGAACTATTTTAGTTGGGATATATGGCAAGTGAAATGTAGAATTTTAGCACAAAAAATGCAAATATCTCCCTTCTCTGTTCTTAGAAAACATATTATTTTGGCGAAAGTTTAATGGAGCCAAAAAGATATATTTCCAAAAGTGGTGGATAAGGCAAAGCCTGTACTGTGGTAATCTGTATGTACATGTTCTGTCATATTTGCCCAACATTTCTTGCAGATAATTTCGTCACAATGCTAACATTATTGACAGATTAGTAGGGTATCCTGGCCTTCGTATCGTCCTTCGGTGACCGGTATACAAGGAAATACTTAATTAATAGTTTCACATACTGCTAGTGTTTTTCTCTTGAGTCTTGGCAAAAGTCATTAGACTGGACAAATACAGGACACCGTGGAAATGGCGCGACATGTTCGGTGTATATTTGTTCTGCAATTGACGAATTCTAATATCCAGTGGTTGGTATATGTTGAACACGAAATGTTTTCTCTGGTAACGAGAAAAATGAAAAACGCATTTTTGCGCATTGTATTTCACCTGTCCCTCTTGGCATAACATTCGTGATGTAGTGTAATACTAAAAAACATTCACATCTGATATCAATATGAAAATTTGTATTGATTTTAAAAGATATGGGTACGAGGGACAAGAAAGGACTTGGTGCCGTTTTATCGGGCCCTTTTCGAAAACACTTATGATAATTTCCACAGCTCCCTGTTCACTGACAAGCATTTCACCCACGTTGGCAGTTTGCGTGTGCCGTCTTATACGGCTGTGACGGAGCAGCCCAGTGACGTCATTTTAAATGGTGTTTGGTGTATCAGGAGAAAGAATTCCTACAATGATATTTTCATTGCTTTCTGTTGTATCAACAAGATTAACACACGGGGAGGTTTTATTTATAGATGTACGCAGAAATTTCTATTCATTTTCGTTTTTATTACCAATGAAAACTTTGCCTATTTTAGATTAATAATTATACATATCTACGCACGTGCAAGATTGTATCATTATTGTATATCCATTTTCGTAGAAATTATTTTTTATGAACGTTGCTGATATTATAATTTGACTAATTAGATGTGGTATCGTCTTCGTTTATAACGATAACGAAAAATCCCGTGGCGAGCCCCTGATCAGATCACGATCAATTACGCGCTTTACAGAAAAGATATTTCGATAGTTCGGTGGATTTGTTTATAAGTGAGCCAGATTTTGTAGGAAGTGAACGAGGGCAGTAGGTACATTTTCTGTGTAGGGAGAAGTGACCGTCACAAAGGAAATCGGAATTTATTTTCTAGTATGTGAATGAGCAGAACAACGAACCAGGTAACAAAGTTTCTGTCGTACGTACACTGGAATGTTGTAGCGTGCCTTTGTATGTGGTATCGGAGGAACAAGAGAAGCGAGTTACTCTTGTGTATTGCAGGACTCCGATTTTCACTGTTCCACAATTTCCCAAAACTTTTCAACTTGATGTTAAAACTCATAGTGTGTAGAATGATGTGATGTATTGATGATTTAGGATCTACTGTTATCTGTTTTTCTGTTTATATTAGTCTGGACTGTATCACTGACCGTGGTGTCGCTAAATTAGTCAATTTCTCATTAAATGACATTTCATCAAGTTTTAAGTTAGATAAAGTAACAGAGTCTTCAATCTGTTAAAAATATCAATAAAAGCAGGTCCATACCGACTCACTTTGGTAGAAAAATAAGTGAAATTGGGTCCATAAATCTTTATTCAGTTTGGAATTTATCATTTATCTTCTTAACAGTTAGCAAATATGAATAACATTTCATCTCTTGATATGTCGAACAAACAGGTTTACGTATCTTGAACAAAATGTCACTCAGCAGATGGAGCATGATTGTTTGCCTTTGGTTGTGTGAATTTATATAGCTGTAGATTACCATACCTGGGTTCAATTCCTGTTGGCTCATGATCAACAGGAATTAGTGTTTTGCCTGTTCTTTTGCTCTCATATGTCTGTAATATAAACACACAACACAGCAGAATTTTCACATGCCTGAAAAGCAAAGAATTTCTTAATGTTGTGAAATTATTTCATATTTAATGATTTGTCATGTGAAGAACTTTCATGTAAATTTTATTTTTTTTTTTTTGTGTGTATTGAAGAATTTTATGACTTGGTTTCGAAAATTGTCATTTTAAAACTACAAAAGTTGAGATTTTTATTGAAGTTGGATTACAACATTAAAACTTAATAAACAAAAGAGAATGTATTAATAATATTATTTTGAATGAAAATATGGAACATCAAAGTCTGCAGATATATTTGGTAATCCTTTTGACTGAATAATTTGTCACAATGTTATTTTTCTCTGTGTGATTTTTACAGCAGTGATGTGAAGAACAATATAATCATGTTAATGTATATGTGTGAGTATAAGTACCCAGAGAGACACAACAATTTACCTATAGCTAGCTAGTGTGAGTCATTCTAACAAAGTCATGTCAGACAAGGTACATGTATGATATAGACAAGTGATGCAGCAAAGCTGATCAATTTACAAAAATAAAGACACAATCCTTCCATAAAGAATTAAAACAGGTGAAATTTATTATAGAGGTTTTGTCTAATTTGTGAATTAAGGATAAACATGAAAATTCTCTATGACAATTATAAGACAACTGTCCAGAATAAAAATTTGCTCGTAAGTGAAATGTAGCTAGTAACGTTTTATATGTTACAATGTCATCAGTTATAGTGACATTTACATCCTAACCACTATAGTATACCACAAGACTTGTTTACGACTGTAGGTGAAGCCCGCCCTAGTCGACAGAATACACACAATGTGTGTGGGAACACATATAGGCCATTATAAAGATGTTGTAACTGTTTCTCATGTCCTCATATCATTACCAGTAGCTACAGGTCTTAGTAATATCAACTGATTTACCATCAGCAAAACTGAGATTGTGTTATATAATGTATTTTGATTAATATGATTTCTTACATTGATTAGTCTACAATATAGCTTCATATTGAATCATCCTTTTGGCCTGAAGTCTTTGTAGTATATTTTGTACTTTAAAACAAAAGAAAGTAAATCTGTAAGAGAAATCTGAAGAAAAAAATTGGAATGAAAGTTAACAGGTAGTAAAGATGAAAAATTCAGGTAAACTACAAAAAATTACATATATATATATACTCAGTGGTAACAAGTATCACAGTGATAAGGCTTAAATTCATATCAAAACTTTACACAATATTTCCAATGAGGTAATGTGTTTGTTATGTAATGTTTTAGTGAATAGCCAAACAATTCCAGCACTGTGTACTGTCTTTATATAGTGACTGGTATTCTCCATTCCAAATCTCGGTAAGAAACACAGAAATTTTTATCGTAGCCTGATGTCTAAACTTGATGTTTAATATGTATATATATAAAAAGCAAGTCTGATATTATAATTGAATTACGAGCTGAAGCCAGACGCAGGTAAGTTATTTTAAGGATGTTTGTCTAGATCCTCCATATATAGTCGCAGCCACTCCGAATTGTTTACTTTTAAGATATAAAATGTATTAAATATTTATTTTATGAAAATTATTATATTTAGTAAAATTCCCAGATTGTGATCACCTACGACTATTTGGATGGTTTGTACTTTGATCCTCACCTGTGGAATGTTCACTAAAACATAAATATCCTCATTAACTTCATTCTGTGTGCAGTCAAGCTTGATCACGTAAGGGTTTGGTCCCTATAGAGCATTGTACAGAAAAATTAATCATACAATGACTTCCGGCACATGAAGGGTTTCTTGAAATTATTATCCTTCTAATATTGGATAGTGGTTTTACTTTAGGATTTCCCTTTTGTAAATGTGTTGAAACGAGATAAAATTATCTGAGTACATTTTCAATTTTCGAAATCTTAGACCAGTCAACCCTGTACTAAGAAGTATCCACATACTGGGTGCTCAAAATTAGTTCAATGCCACAAGAAATGTCCAGTATTCATGATATTATTTGTTTATCTCTTATATGTTCATTCATTCATTCATTCATTCATTCATTCATTCATTCATTCATTCATTTTAGCTTTAATTTCTCTTTTCAGGTGCACCACTGTACAGGATGAAGGGTTGTGCATTATTGTGCGTCACCTTGGTGGCAGTTTTAGGAAGTGTATATATCGTAGATGCTTGTAACGAAGCACTTTGTGGTTCTATTGTGAGCAAATGCATTCTTATAGATGCATGTTCATGTGACTTTGGAAACTTTACCAACTCCAAGTGCCTTAAAAACTGTACACTGTGTTTAAATAGTTTGTTTATGGACTGCTGTGCTTGTGTCGGTAAGTTTGGCCTATCACAGTTACTGAAATAGATATTTATTAACATTATTACTGTATATCATGGACAACTAATGAGCTGTTCATTACAATTTTATTTCATTGCAGTGTTGTTATAAATCATCCTTGAGCCAAAGTTCAGTTTTGATAAAATATTAGTAACAGTGGAACACATCTCACATCCTCAATACTCCAGGAGTTACGATCTCTTCATCCTCGATACTACAGAGGTTACAATCACTACATCCTCAATACTCCAGGAGTTACGATCTCTTCATCCTCGATACTACAGAGGTTACAATCACTACATCCTCAATACTCCAGGAGTTACGATCTCTTCATCCTCGATACTACAGAGGTTACAATCACTACATCCTCGATACTCCAGGGGTTACAATCACTACATCCTCGATACTTCAGGAATAACGATCTCTTCATCCTCGATTCTACAGGAGTTACAATCACTACATCCTCGATACTCCAGGGGTTACAATCACAACATCCTCGATACTCCAGGGGATAAAATCGCTACATCCTCGATGCTCCAGGGGTTACAATCACTACATCCTCGATACTCCAGGGGTTACAATCACTACATCCTCGATACTCCAGGGGTTACAAACACTACATCCTCGATACTCCAGGGGTTACAATCACTACATCCTCGATACTTCAGGAATAACGATCTCTTCATCCTCGATTCTACAGGAGTTACAATCACTACATCCTCGATACTCCAGGGGATAAAATCGCTACATCCTCGATACTCCAGGGGTTACAATCACTACATCCTCGATACTCCAGGGGTTACAATCACTACATCCTCGATACTTCAGGAATAACGATCTCTTCATCCTCGATTCTACAGGAGTTACAATCACTACATCCTCGATACTCCAGGGGTTACAATCACTACATCCTCGATACTCCAGGGGTTACAAACACTGCATCCTCGATACTCCAGGGGTTACAATCACTACATCCTCGATACTCCAGGGGTTACAAACACTGCATCCTCGATACTCCAGGGGTTACAATCACTACATCCTCGATACTTCAGGAATAACGATCTCTTCATCCTCGATTCTACAGGAGTTACAATCACTACATCCTCGATTCTACAGGAGTTACAATCACTACATCCTCGATACTCCAGGGGTTACAACCACTACATCCTCGATATTGCAGGGGTTACAATCACTACATCCTCGATACTACAGGGGTTATGATCACTACATCCTCGATACTACAGGGGTTACAATCACTACATCGATACTCCAGGGGTTACAATCACTACAACCTCGATACTCTAGGGGTTACGATCACTACATCCTGGATACTCCAGGGGTTATAATCACTACATCCTTGATACCCCAGGAGTTAAAAACACTGCATCCTCGATACTCCAGGCGTCCAATGTACAACACTATGTGCACTAGACAAAAAAACAAAAACACTCTGTTTTTGGTTTACATCAATTGAATCTCGAGGTGACATAGCGGTATATTGTAATGTCTTTGATGTACATCAGATGAATATCGAGGTGACATAGTGGTATATTGTAATGTCTTTGATGTACATCAGATGAATATCGAGGTGACATAGCGGTATATTGTAATGTCTTTGATGTACATCAGATGAATATCGAGGTGACATAGCGGTATATTGTAATGTCTTTGATGTACATCAGATGAATATCGAGGTGACATAGTGGTATATTGTAATGTCTTTGATGTACATATGATGAATATCGAGGTGACATAGTGGTATATTGTAATGTCTTTGATGTACATATGATGAATATCGAGGTGACATAGTGGTATATTGTAATGTCTTTGATGTACATCAATTGAATCTCGAGGTGACATAGTGGTATATTGTAATGTCTTTGATGTACATCAATTGAATCTCGAGGTGACATAGCGGTATATTGTAATGTCTTTGATGTACATCAATTGAATCTCGAGGTGACATAGCGGTATATTGTAATGTCTTTGATGTACATCAATTGAATCTCGAGGTGACATAGTGGTATATTGTAATGTCTTTGATGTACATCAGATGAATATCGAGGTGACATAGCGGTATATTGTAATGTCTTTGATGAACATCAGATGAATATCGAGGTGACATAGTGGTATATTGTAATGTCTTTGATGTACATCAGATGAATATCGAGGTGACATAGCGGTATATTGTAATGTCTTTGATGTACATCAGATGAATATCGAGGTGACATAGTGGTATATTGTAATGTCTTTGATGAACATCAGATGAATATCGAGGTGACATAGTGGTATATTGTAATGTCTTTGATGTACATCAGATGAATATCGAGGTGACATAGCGGTATATTGTAATGTCTTTGATGTACATCAATTGAATATCGAGGTGACATAGTGGTATATTGTAATGTCTTTGATGTACATCAGATGAATATCGAGGTGACATAGCGGTATATTGTAATGTCTTTGATGTACATCAGATGAATATCGAGGTGACATAGCGGTATATTGTAATGTCTTTGATGTACATCAGATGAATATCGAGGTGACATAGTGGTATATTGTAATGTCTTTGATGAACATCAGATGAATATCGAGGTGACATAGCAGTATATTGTAATGTCTTTGATGTACATCAGATGAATATCGAGGTGACATAGTGGTATATTGTAATGTCTTTGATGTACATCAGATGAATATCGAGGTGACATAGTGGTATATTGTAATGTCTTTGATGTACATCAGATGAATATCGAGGTGACATAGTGGTATATTGTAATGTCTTTGATGAACATCAGATGAATATCGAGGTGACATAGTGGTATATTGTAATGTCTTTGATGTCTTTGTAATCTTCTCTCCTGAACCAATCATATTACTTTTCTTGTGCCTTCAGTTTTACCATGACATGGGGTGTAGAGAGCAAAAGTGATTGTAACCCTTGGAGTATCAAGGATGATTATGAATATGTACAGTCATAAGCCATTTCTCTGACTATGAGTCAGAATTGTTAACCTCCTTACTATTGGTTTATGGCTTGAATCCAAGTTTGTACCATTATTTCAAAAATAGGTCACTGTGATTCATCTTTATATTATATCTGTGTTCTAAGTTCAAATTCTGTTAAATTTGATTAGCTTAAATATTAGATTTAAGTAAGAGCCATTGTTCGTAACAAGCTTATTGAATTTGTCATGTTACAGGGTTGTGTAAGCCAAAGGACTCTGAGGAAGGGATGGATAACTCCAGTTCTGTTGAGGAACTACGCGATCCACTTCCTGAACTCTTCAATGTTCTTACAGAGGAGGAAGATTTATTAGTTAGATGGAAATCCTTCACATATCCTGCATCAGACGCTAAACCTGTCAAGAATATTCTTCTTATCAAAGGTAAGGAACAGAATTGTTTTAGTTCAGAAAGGCACATGAACAGATTTGATACTAGGACCTGATATAAGATTTGTTTTTTGTGAAGAGAAGTAATATAAGTAGGATGCGGGATCGTGGCATGATAATGCATTTGGTTACAGCATTGGCATACGTAACCTCAGGTAAAGATCCAAGGAGCATACTTTAACACTCCCTACCCATTGCCATTTGTGTTTCTCAGGAAGCTTAAAAACAGACTGTTCTGTACTTATTTTCTGTGAATTAAATGGTTACAATTTGTATTTTTTAATTTTAAGTCAGAAAAATTTTGACATTCTGTGTGTGGTCATGTGAAAATGGCAATATGTTTCCACAATTACCATTTGCTTGCCGACCCAGGTCGCTTATTTTATTCACTATATGAAGAATATATATTCATATTGGTGTTCGTTGACTCCGATATCAGAAAAGTTTATCAGTTACTTGTAACAATATTCATATTTCTAATCTATACATATTCCATCTACTTATTCCCTAAAGTCATTATCCACCCAAATTATAGTCTCTCGTTGTGTAATGAGTATCTGTGTGTGATCAGTATCTATGTGTGATTAGTATCTATGTGTGATTAGTATCTATGTGTGATCAGTATCTATGTGTTATCAGTATCTATGTGTGATGAGTATCTATGTGTGATTAGTATCTATGTGTGATCAGTATCTATGTGTGATCAGTATCTATGTGTTATCAGTATCTATGTGTGATTAGTATCTATGTGTGATCAGTATCTATGTGTGATGAGTATCTATGTGTGATCAGTATCTATGTGTTATTAGTATCTATGTGTGATCAGTATCTATGTGTTATTAGTATCTATGTGTGATCAGTATCTATGTGTTATTAGTATCTATGTGTGATCAGTATCTATGTGTTATTAGTATCTATGTGTGATCAGTATCTATGTGTGATTAGTATCTATGTGTGATTAGTATCTATGTGTGATTAGTATCTATGTGTGATTAGTATCTATGTGTGATCAGTATCTATGTGTAATCAGTATCTGTGTGTGATTAGTATCTATGTGTGATCAGTATCTATGTGTGATTAGTATCTATGTGTGATCAGTATCTATGTGTGATCAGTATCTATGTGTGATTAGTATCTATGTGTGATTAGTATCTATGTGTGATCAGTATCTATGTGTGATCAGTATCTGTGTGTGATCAGTATCTATGTGTGATTAGTATCTATGTGTGATTAGTATCTATGTGTGATTAGTATCTATGTGTGATCAGTATCTATGTGTGATTAGTATCTATGTGTGATCAGTATCTATGTGTGATCAGTATCTATGTGTGATTAGTATCTATGTGTGATCAGTATCTATGTGTGATCAGTATCTGTGTGTGATCAGTATCTATGTGTGATTAGTATCTATGTGTGATTAGTATCTATGTGTGATTAGTATCTATGTGTGATCAGTATCTATGTGTGATCAGTATCTATGTGTGATTAGTATCTATGTGTGATTAGTATCTATGTGTAATGAGTATCTGTGTGTGATTAGTATCTATGTGTGATCAGTATCTATGTGTGATCAGTATCTATGTGTGATCAGTATCTATGTGTGATCAGTATCTATGTGTGATCAGTATCTATGTGTGATTAGTATCTATGTGTGATTAGTATCTATGTGTGATCAGTATCTATGTGTGATCAGTATCTGTGTGTGATCAGTATCTGTGTGTGATCAGTATCTATGTGTGATCAGTATCTATGTGTGATTAGTATCTATGTGTGATGAGTATCTATGTGTAATGAGTATCTATGTGTGATTAGTATCTGTGTGTTATCAGTATCTATGTGTGATTAGTATCTATGTGTTATCAGTATCTATGTGTAATTAGTATCTATGTGTGATCAGTATCTATGTGTTATTAGTATCTATGTGTTATTAGTATCTATGTGTTATTAGTATCTATGTGTGATTAGTATCTATGTGTGATCAGTATCTATGTGTGATTAGTATCTATGTGTGATCAGTATCTATGTGTGATTAGTATCTATGTGTGATTAGTATCTATGTGTGATTAGTATCTATGTGTGATCAGTATCTATGTGTGATCAGTATCTGTGTGTGATCAGTATCTATGTGTGATTAGTATCTATGTGTGATTAGTATCTATGTGTGATTAGTATCTATGTGTGATTAGTATCTATGTGTGATCAGTATCTATGTGTGATTAGTATCTATGTGTGATGAGTATCTATGTGTGATCAGTATCTGTGTGTGATCAGTATCTATGTGTGATTAGTATCTATGTGTGATTAGTATCTATGTGTGATTAGTATCTATGTGTGATCAGTATCTATGTGTGATCAGTATCTGTGTGTGATTAGTATCTATGTGTGATCAGTATCTATGTGTGATCAGTATCTGTGTGTGATCAGTATCTATGTGTGATCAGTATCTATGTGTGATCAGTATCTATGTGTGATCAGTATCTATGTGTGATTAGTATCTATGTGTGATTAGTATCTATGTGTGATCAGTATCTATGTGTGATCAGTATCTGTGTGTGATCAGTATCTGTGTGTGATCAGTATCTATGTGTGATCAGTATCTATGTGTGATCAGTATCTATGTGTGATTAGTATCTATGTGTGATTAGTATCTATGTGTAATGAGTATCTATGTGTGATTAGTATCTGTGTGTTATCAGTATCTATGTGTGATTAGTATCTATGTGTTATCAGTATCTATGTGTAATTAGTATCTATGTGTGATTAGTATCTATGTGTGATCAGTATCTATGTGTTATTAGTATCTATGTGTTATTAGTATCTATGTGTGATTAGTATCTATGTGTGATTAGTATCTATGTGTGATCAGTATCTATGTGTGATTAGTATCTATGTGTGATCAGTATCTATGTGTGATCAGTATCTATGTGTGATTAGTATCTATGTGTGATTAGTATCTATGTGTAATGAGTATCTGTGTGTGATTAGTATCTGTGTGTTATCAGTATCTATGTGTGATTAGTATCTATGTGTGATCAGTATCTATGTGTGATCAGTATCTATGTGTGATTAGTATCTATGTGTGATTAGTATCTATGTGTTATCAGTATCTATGTGTGATTAGTATCTATGTGTTATCAGTATCTATGTGTTATCAGTATGCTGATGTTTCATGAATTCCTGTGTATACTGCCTGAGAAAGTAATTCGTGTGTATCCTGCCAGACAAAGTAATTCCTGTGTATCCTGCCAGACAAAGTAATTCCTATGTATACTGCCAGACAAAGTAATTCGTGTGTATACTGCCAGACAAAGTAATTCGTGTGTATCCTGCCAGACAAAGTAATTCCTGTGTATCCTGCCAGACAAAGTAATTCCTATGTATACTGCCAGACAAAGTAATTCCTATGTATACTGCCAGACAAAGTAATTCCTATGTGTACTGCCAGACAAAGTAATTCATGTGTATACTGCCAGACAAAGTAATTCGTGTGTATACTGCCAGACAAAGTAATTCCTATGTATACTGCCAGACAAAGTAATTCGTGTGTATACTGCCAGACAAAGTAATTCCTATGTATCCTGCCAGACAAAGTAATTCGTGTGTATACTGCCAGACAAAGTAATTCGTGTGTATACTGCCAGACAAAGTAATACGTGTGTATCCTGCCAGACAAAGTAATTCGTGTGTATACTGCCAGACAAAGTAATTCCTATGTATACTGCCAGACAAAGTAATTCCTATGTATACTGCCAGACAAAGTAATTCGTGTGTATACTGCCAGACAAAGTAATTCGTGTATATACTGCCAGACAAAGTAATTCCTATGTATCCTGCCAGACAAAGTAATTCCTATGTATACTGCCAGACAAAGTAATTCCTATGTATACTGCCAGACAAAATAATTCGTGTGTATACTGCCAGACAAAGTAATTCCTATGTATACTGCCAGACAAAATAATTCCTATGTATACTGCCAGACAAAGTAATTCGTGTGTATACTGCCAGACAAAGTAATTCCTATGTATACTGCCAGACAAAGTAATTCGTGTGTATCCTGCCAGACAAAGTAATTCCTGTGTATCCTGCCAGACAAAGTAATTCGTGTGTATACTGCCAGACAAAGTAATTCCTATGTATCCTGCCAGACAAAGTAATTCCTATGTATCCTGCCAGACAAAGTAATTCCTATGTATCCTGCCAGACAAAGTAATTCGTGTGTATACTGCCAGACAAAGTAATTCCTATGTATCCTGCCAGACAAAGTAATTCCTATGTATACTGCCAGACAAAGTAATTCCTATGTATACTGCCAGACAAAGTAATTCCTATGTATCCTGCCAGACAAAGTAATTCGTGTGTATACTGCCAGACAAAGTAATTCGTGTGTATACTGCCAGACAAAGTAATTCTTATGTATCCTGCCAGACAAAGTAATTCGTGTGTATACTGCCAGACAAAGTAATTTGTGTGTATACTGCCAGACAAAGTAATTCCTATGTATCCTGCCAGACAAAGTAATTCCTATGTATCCTGCCAGACAAAGTAATTCCTATGTATCCTGCCAGACAAAGTAATTCCTATGTATCCTGCCAGACAAAGTAATTCCTATGTATCCTGCCAGACAAAGTAATTCCTATGTATCCTGCCAGACAAAGTAATTCGTGTGTATCCTGCCAGACAAAGTAATTCGTGTGTATACTGCCAGACAAAGTAATTCCTATGTATCCTGCCAGACAAAGTAATTCCTATGTATCCTGCCAGACAAAGTAATTCCTATGTATACTGCCAGACAAAGTAATTCCTATGTATACTGCCAGACAAAGTAATTCGTGTGTATCCTACCAGACAAAGTAATTCGTGTGTATACTGCCAGACAAAGTAATTCCTATGTATCCTGCCAGACAAAGTAATTCCTATGTATACTGCCAGACAAAGTAATTTGTGTGTATCCTACCAGACAAAGTAATTCGTGTGTATACTGCCAGACAAAGTAA